TAAAAGAAAAATGTATTATCGTACAACGGAATACAATCAGTGTTAGTGCAGGTCCAGCCTTGAGAATGCTGGATGTTAGTAAGCGAAGAATAGATATTGTGACGTGGCACTTTGTGCACGTCACAAAAGAGAAAGGAAAAAGGCAAAATAGAAGCTACACCGTGAGGTCCGCAATGCAACCTAACTATTACGTCGAGCGTGGACTGAATTTAGCGTGTAGAATGTGTATTAATTCCCTTCGGGGTCTGTATTTCAAATGTTACTAGTGGTGATCGGTCCCGTAAGGGAACCGATCAGAAAGAAATAAGAAGCAGAAACGGCCCTGACGACAACACAGGGGCCCGACCAGTGCTATCAGCATCACTGGAGTGACGTAGCCAGCAGGAGGAGGGCCAGCGTGACCGCAGAGCACCACGGAGTGAGGCCACATACGCGGAAGGACGCCGCGAGAAGATCCGAGATTTTGGCAGCATCCGGGGGTTGCACTGGCGGCCTGGAGCCGTGCAACGAGGGAGGGGGTGCGGATGAGATTCCCGCCCCCAAGAAAAGACACTGCAATCGCCCAGAAGAGGAGAGGATGCGCGGATCTACTTTTCGAAGATCCGATAGACAATTGAAGATCGAGGGCGAATTGGGCCGCGTAGGGGCTAGCGCAAATTTGATTGGGCCCAAGGGTAATATTCCTCCGCGCCACTAGGGCACGTTAGCGGGCGAGCGATCGGGTAGCGTCACTTGCGGTGTAGCGTAGCGTATGAGCAGCACGTGTGCTAATAGCGTCAGTGTAGAGAAAAGTGAAAGTGAAGGAGTGTGAAGGAGAGGACTAGAAAGAGAGAGAAACATGAATTCGGAGGATTTAGATGATTTGGGCACGGCTCTTTTCGGTGAGTGACGCTACCGAGTCAGATAATTTTTGTAATTGATCGAGATTAACTGGACATTAGAGTTAGCTACTGGATCTTCGATCCAGGCAGCACGTGTCGCTTCCCGCTTACACGATCGTTGAGATCCGATGTTTGGCAGTTTGGTAGCGATCTGGAGGGTCCGTTATCTTGTATCAAAGTTTAGTTTTTAGTTTTGTGTTTGAGTATTTGTAAAGTATGTTTGAATAAACCGCATGCAAATTAGTAATATCCAGTCC